ATCCCCCAGAGGTGCTGAGCCCCCCAAATTCAGTCTGTAGCGATTGTGGTGTCCCCCCCCACACTTTTTTTGGGACCCTCCCTCCCCTGTCGTGGTGGCGTCGCAGTTTTTCGTAAGAGCCGGGTGGTGCCGGGCTCTTTATCCCGGATTCCAGGCCTAATTTGGGGCTAATTATATCCTGCTCCCTCCGTTTCCAGCTCCTGCACTTCCTGTCCCCGCGGTTGGGAAACGCCATGACTCCCTGGCACCCCCCTTTCTCGCCTGGGGACCCCAAAATCACCCTGTCACCCGGTCCCCCCCACCCCGTGCAGCCACCTCATCGCCACTGCCCCCAGTGCTGGGGGGGGCTGGAGAGTTTGGGGTGATGTGAAGGATTTTGGGGGTCCAGCCCTTGCAGCTGAGGTGGCTGCGAGGGGGGGCCCTGGTTGGAGGTGGGGGTCCTTGGGCAGAAATGGGGGTCCCAGATGGAAGTGGGGGTCCTGGATGGAGGTGGGGGTCCTGGATGGAAATTGAGGTCCTGGATGGAGGTGGGATCCCAGAAAGAGAGGGGGCTCCCGGATGGAAGTGGGGGTCCTGGAGAGAGATGGGGGTCTGGGATGGAAGTAGGGGATCCCAGACAGGGGTGGGGGTCCCGGATGGAAGTGGGGGTCCTGGATGGAAGTTGGGGTTCCCAGACAAGGGTGGGGGTCCTGGATGGAAGTGGGGGTCCCGGATGGAAGTTGGGGATCCCAGACAAGGGTGGGGGTCCCGGATGGAAGTGGGGGTCCCGGATGGAAGCTCAGGAGCTGCTTCCCAGCAGGACCCAGCTCCCATTTCGGGTGTGGGGCAGGGATGGGGGTCTGTGGGGCTGGTGAGCTCCAGGAGAAGCTGGATCTGGAGCCTGGGGACAGGGGGGGAGCGGGAGGGGACCCCGGTGTCACTCACTCGGCGGTGGCGGAGCCCCGGTGCCCCCGTCCCGGGCACGGCAGCGGAGAAGGATCCGGTCACCCCTTCCGGGAGAGCCTGGCCCAGTTGGCTGCGTCCCCTGCCCAGTTGGGCAGCAGCTGCTTGTGACGGAACAGGCACCTCACTGCTTAAAAATAACCCGTCCCCGGTCCCCGCAGTGGGCACGGAGACGGGGGCCACCACGTCCCACCCCCCGGCTGTGCTGATGTCCCCAAGGGCTCCCATTTAGGAGATCAGGAGCTCATGAGAGCCCACCTGGAGTTCTGCGTCCAGCTCTGGGGCCACCACCATCAGAAGGACATGGAGCTGTTGGATGGGGCCAGAGGAGGCCCCGGAGATGCTGGGAGACTGGAGCCCCTCTGCTGGGAGGGGGGGCTGAGAGAGGTGGGGGGGTTCAGCCTGGAGAAGAGAAGGCTCTGGGGAGACCTTGGAGCCTCTTCCAGTCCCTCCAGGAAAGGTGGGGGGGGACTCTTGATGCGGGAGGGGAGCCATGGGACAAGGGGGAAGGGTTTTGAGCTGAAAAATGGGAGATTGAGGTGAAATATTGGGAAGAACTTCTTCATTTTGAGGGTGGTGAGAGCCTGGCCCAGGTTGCCCCGAGAAGCTGTGGCTGCCCCATCCCTGGAGGGGTTGAAGGTCAAGTTGGAGGGAGCTTGGAGGAACCTGGGCTGGTGGGAGGTGGCCCTGCCCAGGGCAGGGGGGGACTGGGTGATCTTTAAGGTCCCTTCCAACCCAAACCATTCTGTGATTCAGCCTGGAGAAGAGAAGGCTCCAGGGAGACCTTGGAGCCCCTTCCAGTCCCTCAAGGGGCTCCAGGAAAGTTGGGGGGGGACTCTTGATGAGGGAGGGGAGCGATGGGACGAGAGGGAAGGGTTTTAAGGTGAAAAAAGAGAGATTGAGGTTAGATATTGGGAAGAAGTTGTTTATTTTGAGGGTGGTGAGAGCCTGGCCCAGGTTGGGCAGAGAAGCTGTGGCTGCCCCATCCCTGGAGGGATTCAAGGCCAAGGTTGGACGGGGCTTTGGTCAACCTGGGCTGGTGGGAGGTGGCCCCCATTTTAGTTGGCAGGAGATGATCGTTAAGTTCCCTTCCCACCCCAAACCATGACCATGACTCCGTGATGCCACGATTTGACCAGGTGGTTCCTGAGTGGTGGGACCGGCCGGAGCCAGGTGCCCAAAGGGTAAAACCCCGACGCCGCCGGGGCAACGGCGTGGGCGCCGGAGGGGTCGGTCCCGGGCACCGCAGCTCCGTCGGTGGGGAGAGAGCACGCCCGGCCTGTCCGCGCTTGGCACATCCCCAAGGACAAGCTCTTACCAAACCGGGAGCAGAGAGGGACATGCCAGGAGGTTTACACACATCTTGGAACAGGTTTCAGCCTCTGCGACTCCCCGTGCTCCACTTTGACCCAGCTAAACCAGTTGCTCCAGTTGGTTGGTGCCGGGGCTGGGCCGATTCTTGTCTCTCCATCCCATGGGCTGGAGGATGGAAGAGGTTTTTCCATCCTTGGGGTTTGGAGCTTGGTGGGGGGGGGGAGCTGCCGGACACCGGCCGTGCTGGTGGTGGGGGACATCGTGGTGGCACTGGGGACCTGGATTTACATCCTGGAATAATCACACTTCCCTCCAACGAGCCCTGATAATTTTGGGCCACTGCTGGGCTCTCCTGGTAGCCACAGGTAGAGCCAAGACGGGATGGGGACAACACAAGGACCAGGACACGTGGGCAAGATGCCACCCCCCCCGGGATGCACCCCATCCCCGGGGTCCTGGGATGCTCTGCCACCTCCCGGGGTAACACCGGGGTCCCCAGGGCTGGGTCCCCCCTCCCTGCCCACGGGGGGGATCCCCGACCTGGAGGTGACATCTCTCCTGTCACTTGTGATTTGGCCAGGTCCTGTTGCGGGGGCCGCCGCTGCCTCCTCACCCCATGATGCCGGCACCCCGAATTCCAAGGGGGGCGAGTCACGGGCCCGCCTGGGTTTTCGGGGCCGGTGATTCACCCCAAACCTGTCCCCATCCTGACTCAGCCCCGGAGGTTTCCCAAGAGCCACCATCTGGGTCCCCTGACGTGGGGCTGGACGGAAGTCCCGTCCCTGTCCCCCTCGTCACCCCGGGAAGGGGGACGGGCCCGGATGGGGCTGCAGGAAACCAATTCCTCCCCCGTGAGCTGGTGTGACGGGTGCCGGGTGGGGACCGGGCTGCCCGGTGTCGACCGGAGCCTCCCCATCCCCGTGGTGAGGTGTAACGAATGCGTCAGGCCTCAGCAGAAACTGGGCTGGTGGTGGTATCATTCTACCGGGGACCTCCCCTGCTCTGGGTCCCCCAAAAAAACTACTAGTTGGGGGGGAGGGAGGGGGGGTTTCCAGGTTGT